TAAACTTATCACTTATCACTACGGTGTCCGTATTATAAGAAAATATTTCCAGGTATCCAGAATATGTTTGGTCATGGGCTGAGTGATAAGCTCACTTTTGATTTGAAGTTGAGCCACTCATGCGGACCACTAGAGCAGTCCTCGGGGGTAACATCAAGCCCCTATGAGCAATTGGTATTCAGGCATTGAAACGGCCAGAGGCATTGCCCAAGGCAACAGTATGTCCGAAGAAGACAGCGGCCCAGATCCAGACCCAAGCTGACCCGACAGGGAGTAAGAGGAGTGAGTTTCACACCTGCCCTGTTTAACATGGCGGAGAGGATTCAAGAAGCATGAGTAAAGAAAAAGACACTTAATCAATAGTTCCTACCCTCTGTCTTCTAGTATTTGGGTGATTTGAATTTATGAACAACCAACGAGGGCTCAATGTGTCTGTTCATGCGAACAGGTTTCCTAAGTGCCGAGAGTAAGCAACTTAACAGGCCATCGCTGAAATCTCAGGGACTTGCCAAGGTCAGACCCTATGAATCAATCCATCAGTTTGGATTTATAAAAAAAACTGCTATGTACCCCCAAACTTGAAATATCCTAAGCTTAACTTCTGTTCTTTATCTAACTTTGTCAATGTTGGGAGAAGGTCAGAGGAGAAGAAGCCAACTATGGTTTAGATATATACGCAGTATAACTGACAGAAAAAATGCTTCACATCCGCCGTCATGGGTGTTGGAGCGCTCGGAGAAACCGACAGCACATCAACAACGAGGCCTTCAGTTGAAGAGCATCATCAAATCACATCCACCTCTAATCAATGTGTCATCACCTTCACTTCAAACTCCGAATGACATTCAGCGCCGAGGTTTTCTAGTTCACTGTTGTGCCGGGATGATGAATACGCTCCGCACCGAGTCCAGGTGAGTTACCGTCTCGACTCTGCCATACTCAGTAATCAAACAGTCTTCCTTTTGAAATCTCAAGTGTGAAACACGTCATTTAACAGCATGCTAATGAAGCTAATCTACTGAAGTCAAATGATTTACACACGTGCCAATCGCCTCGCCCCCCAATTACAAACACATAGTCCTGCTCTCGGGCAAAGCTCTGCAGATCTACTGCTCCTTGTTTGTTAACTGAATGAAAGATCTGGTATCATACTGACAATGATGGTTCCATGAAAAACTTATCATTCCCCAAAAGGTTCTTTGTAGTAGAAAAATGTTCTTTAGATTATTCAAATGTACTTTACTTAAAGAAAAAAGTAGTCCTTTATAAAAACTCTTTGCAAGGTTCTTCGGGTAACCAAAAACGGTTCTTCCCCTGCACTGCTGCGAAAACCTCTATTTGGAACTTTTATTTCAAAAGGTGTATCTGAGTCCAATTAAAAACATAAGACATAATGTGCCAAATTTACTAACAGCTTGCGCCAGCGCAAACCATCTTTTGGCATTAAAATAGTACTGTCAGGATTTACTAAAGACACACAGTGAAACATTGTCATTGAAAAGGCGTGGACACAGTTATTTTTGCGCCTGACCTTATTGAAATAAATTTGTAGGAGTTTCCCTTTCAGACACAAAATTTATGGGAGTATTAAAATGACATTAAAGTTTGCGCTCGTCAAATTACTGGTGTTTGCGCCATTATTTATTGGTAGATTGTGCTGGTCATTATGAAAATTATCTGGCTGCATCTGTGTTCTTTAATGTGCACATTGTTAGTAAATCACCCGCAGAATTTCCCCCTTCTATTGGTGCTTTTATGGAATTGCACTCTAATGCTAATTTGCCCTGTTTAGTAAATCTGGCCCCATATGTGTCTTAATGTTTGGTTTAGTCCAATGCCATCTACTAACCAGGCATGGTGCAACTACTAAAAGCTGTTAATCTGACCTTTTGGCTTAACCAACAGACATTTACTGATAATTTTCACCTTTGCTGTGGCTCTTAAATGTCATGATGTTCAGTTTTGAAACATAATTTGACTGCGATGATGATCAGTAAATATCAGTGAAATTTCAATTTTGCACCCAAATATGCATACTTCACTATTAATTTGAATTTGATTTCACGCACTATATTAGTAGGTAAAAAACACTATGTGAAATAAACATTTTGTTTGATTTCCTAGTATTCAAAAACAGTTCCCGGATGACTTACTATTTCCAGCGAGTGCACATCCAATGGACACTTTACTATCCCATGAGGCCATGAGAAAGACATTGTGAATGCAGAGAAGGCAATGGCAACATGACAGATTTAGTACGCCTAGATTTCATTCATACTATACACATTCATACAATATAGAGCACTCTTTTTCAATATCGCAAAGTTCATCAAATGTAGTACCTACTCGCTATTCAATTTTGGATGCAAGTTTGGAATATAGCACATGGGTTGCATGAATTGCATTAGTTGTAGTGCTTTTTGGAGCATTATAGCCTATAGCCACTATGTTTCTATATTGCAAGAATAGCAAAATACATTGCATGGAGAAAGTAAGAGCATACAGGTTTTGAATGGTATAAGGATGAGTAAATAGGGCCAACTGAATTTAAATTGTAGGGTGGTTAAACACTTATTTATGTAGTCTGTAAAATGAAAGTCAAAATAAAGCCCTTACGGTTCTGCTTAGGTAGTATATTTCTACTTTATCTCAGATGGGGGGCTTCTGCATTCCGTCAGTTGGGAGTTTCTAAATGGATTTCTCATTAAAACATCAGCAAGATTCAAAGAGCTTCATAAGAGATGAGGTGGGAATCTGTTCTAATGATGTTTAGGTGAGAGTCCCAGACCCCAGAAACGCTCCCCGGAAAACCTGTGAGGATTGAGACAATTAACTTGAATCAATCGATGCCACAGATCATTATAAAACACGAGCATTAGATGCTGTGAAGAAGGTTAGTATAACACACACATTCACTCTCTCTACTCCTCTCGCTCCATTTTCCTTCCAACATCAGCAAGATTCAAAGAGCTTCATAAGAGATGAGGTGGGAATCTGTTCTAATGATGTTTAGGTGAGAGTCCCAGACCCCAGGAACGTTCCTGGAAAACCTGCTATGATGGAGACAATTAACTTGTATCAACCAATGCCACAGACCATTATAAAACATGAGCATTAGACGATATGTAGAAGTTTAGTATAACACACACGTTCACTGTCTCTGCTCCTCTCACTCCGTTTTTCTTCCACACACACACACGCACACACACATACACAAACTGGTAGCCTAATCCTCCCAATGTGTAAGTTATCACTCTACTGTAAATGTCAGGTTAGACAGCATACACTCATGAATGATGGATATATGGCACGTCCTAGTTTGCCACGGTTTCCTCCCTAGGCAGCATTACAGAACAGCCTATTTCCTGATCCAGGGCTTAGTGTTTGCAGCTATCACGCATTCCCAACACTCCCACCTGTGCTTGCATAACAACTACCTAAGCAGCCCAGCTACACTTGGAGAAAACCGGCAACCGGAGAGAAAGTTTCAGTAATACATTTCAGCAGCGCTGCCTTACAGCGGGGAAAATATCTTGAAGGAAATATTAGAAAATATTACATTTTTTATGCACCTGTGTAGATATTTTCATTTGAGCCAGCATCGCCCACCCAGCAAATGTATTTTTTTTTCCCATGCACGAGATTTGAGTATATTGCTTCTATCTTTTTCCAGGCAGAATGAACGGAAGCGACTGCTCATACGAGCTTCTGTTGCTCGCCTGCTGTCTGCAAAATGTCGACGAAAACAATTTTCCCCGCTTGAGGCCATCAGCTGAGAAGAGAGGCAAATTACCACAAGTGGCCAGTTAAAATGCCTTGCACTCTGCATGCAGAGAAACTCAATGGACTACTTTCTGTCTTTTCAGTAGCATAAATCCATGCCAGACGGGGGGCATGGGCCTTCAAAATTAGGAAAAAATCAAATTGTCAATATTGCCATTAAGGTAGTGAACAAAACCGTCCTTGTGTGTGTGTGTGTGTGTGTGTGTGTGTGTGTGTGTGTGAGTGTGTGCGTGTGTGTTAATATGGGCTCTGTGCTCCTCATTCACTCACACTGTGTACTTTTATGCATCTAGACATATCAAAAGTTTAGTTGCATGCCTAAATGCACTTTTTGCAAGTCCTCATAAAAAATAATGAATCATCCCATCATAAAATCTCACATTAAGAGTCTGTCAGCACTGATAATGCACATCTGATGAACATGCACCTTATAAAAACACTTTTCCAAGATGCCACCGGTGAGCTCATTTTAACGGAGCTCTCTGTTATGTGCAGTCATAAAACAGGCAAGGAGTTCATTAATTTTGATGGTTAATCTACAGTCTCATTAATTGGCTTTGGTTCATTCCGCGGCCATGTCGTGTATAATTACCTGTGGTACGCGCAGTTGCTGCATGTGGTATGGACTTCAATACACTTCTAAATGCAGGTAATTATTGATTAGTGACTGCAAATAGAGGTACAGGATTGTGTTCTGGTCCTGAATAAATCCAGTACTGCACATTTTGGAGGTCTAACTGATTTATATCGTAAGCTCATTACTAAAGGCTCCAAGACCTGAAATGGGTGTGTCAGATAAGGGAGATAAATGTGCAGTTCTGGGGTAGGTTCTCCAGGATTGACAAGCACTGCTGTACAGTGTCTCCATGAGAAAGATATAAAAGAGAGTGAGCATAGAGCTGGCTGGCACATATCTCACATATAGGGGAAGATGGAGCAAGAGGCACGTATTTTGTGAATTAAGAACTGAATAGACAATTATTTACTGTTAAATGATGCTGTACATGCTTGATTCATCTGTATGTATTATGATTTATAATTAAACACAAGCTGTTCTTGCTTCATGTTCCTTTTAAACTGTAATTAAGCCAAATGATATGACTACAGAAGTCAAGGTTAAATGTTACAGTCCCTCAGGCTCACTCTGCATTTTTAAGGGTCTTTGGAGACAGTTCATTTCCAGCCTTTACACGGCAACTTAAAGAAGCGCTCTTTACCTTGTGCTGAAGCCAGATGTAGGAGCACCGACAGCAATATTACAATCCAACAGGGTCTCTTTCTGGCTTTACCCGAATTCCCAAACATTGCCAGAGAGGCAGATGGAGAGATACTGAACGCTTTTGTCCGGCACATGTTGCTCCTCCACAGCCCAGCCACAGTTGTGCGCGTAATGTTCTGAGTGTCTCTGTCGCGTCTTGTGCGAGGTCTTGTACGACTCAAGAGACTAATCCTTCACATTTATACCTTAAACTTCAATACTGTTAAACTCCTTTGTATGTGTGAGTTTGTGAACAGTATGTTAAAACTTCAGTTTTAGCAGTCAACGACTCCAAAGCACGGCAGACTGATAACAGACTTGTGTCCGTTCATCCACTGTTTCTACTCTCATGCATTCACTTGATAAATGTTTGATCAATCAGTATATTCCCAGTCCAGAGCGCAAACGCCTCTAGTTCACAAACTGTTGATAACGGTCCCCCGGATATGATTAGAGGCGTGATAATTCGCTCATAATCAATGACGCTGTGCTATTCTCATTCCAGTAAACCAAAAAGTTAGTTCTGTTCCTGGCGCGTTGCTATTTGTTATCCCCAAGACGAGTCTTTTGCAGTGAAGAACCTCCCGTTCACTGAGTCCGCCCAGATACAGAATAAGCTTCGTTCGGTTTAAGTAACTTTCCAAGTCCCGTTTCAGTGCGCCACGGGTGCCGTTTGGTCCAATCGAAGCATGCTGTGCGTAAAGCTACGCTGTGTATGAGGGTGCGAACCGGTATTCGTGAGATATCAAACTGTCATCGCTGAATGCCGCCCAGGAACCGGCCCGTTGCGCTGAAGATCTCCAGCATCATATGAGCAGCGGATCGGAGAGAGCGGTGCGCGCGGAGGGGGCTGACGCACGGTGCCACCGCGCGGCGAGCTCCAATAAGACACGCAGCGAGAAAGACGGGCGCTCGCTGCTGAATGCTCTGTAATGAAGAGCCCGACAGTCATTCTGAACGGATGAACGGTCGCAACAACCTTTCAATAATGTCTCCATCACTCTGTGAAACAGCGATTAGTCGCTAAACTAACATGTCTGTCTGGCCAAGCTGCTTCTGTTGTTTGCGGAGCTGAAAAGTGATGGGTATCGATATTGAATTGACTGAATTGAATAGACACGACCTTTGGAGATTCAGGAACAACTAACAGAGCACATTCATGAGATATTACTTGTTTAATTGCATTTCTGTCCACATTTCCTGCAGTCTCATTTTTATTTTGACCCTCTGTGCGTCTCTTTGACTATCTGTGTGCTTGTATCTGTCCATCAATCAGTCTTTTTTTTTCCCCCCAGCACTCTATTCACATCAGTCCTTCCATACAAATAAGAATTGTGATGATTGTAAATTGACATTTAATCTAATTTGTGTATTGTGGCATTGATGAAATTGTTGGCTTCTTGTGATTAATCTTTTGTGTTTGTATTTTTCCTGAATTATTTCCCTAATTTGGGGACAATAGAATCTGCTAAATTAATAATACAGAAATGCTAAAATGTAAATGCACTATTATTATTATTAAATTGCATTACAGACATAAAAGAACCAATCAATCCAACTCAAAACAGGGCGATGTACAAAAGACATTCAGTTTTATTATTAATTATGAATTATTTATCTTTCCCCCATTGGCAAAATAAATCTAACACATACAAAATACATTCTCAAGTAAATTTAAATTTTTAAAAAGATGTTCACTTTTATCTTTTTTAATTTTATTTTGTAATGGAAAAGAACCGATCAAAAAAAGACTAATTAAAAACACTGATCAGAAGATTTTTTGCAGTGTGATTCAAGAGAAACGAATAATCATATTTCTCAGAGAAGAAAACAAGAGAGAAAACTAGAGAAAGACTAAATAGGCTTTAAGAGAGAATGTAAAGAAGTGATTTGCATATCAGTCAAAGAAATCATTTGGGACACACTGAGATCAGGTCTGAGTCTTGCACTTTTGATCCAGTAAAGAAATACAACGAGCCTGCATACAGCAAAACACACCTACACACGCTCCAGGTTAGTATGCATGCACACACACATGCACAAACGCAAACACATGCACATCTATATGTAGGGATTTGCTGTAGGATCACTGCGATCAGTCAGACAGCAGAAGAAGTCAACATCAGACTACTTTACAGGTCTGATTTCTCCTGCGAAGCCTGTTCGCCCACACACACAACACACATACAAACATACTTCAAAGACTATTGATCTTCTCTGGCCTGCGGGAAAAACAACTTCCACATCAAGCAGCGCTCCTTTGGGTTAATCATATATGTCAGAGGGCCAAAGGTAATAAACCTGTGAATAAACCTGTAAAGCACCTTTACGGCCAGGTAGGGAGGTCTGGAAGTGGACTCACCACATGTAAGCGCTGGGAAAATCTGGTACTGGATCTGGGTCTTCAGATACAGGTGCTCTTGCACACTAGTGGTGAATCAGGGCTTCTGAACAAAACAAAAAAAGAGCATGATTATTTGATCTTGGCAATCACAGCATGATATGACAACAATGCTTCCCTCCACCACACCAACTGCATCTTTATTTCAATAACAAATTAGGTCTGGGAAAGGGAAAACAGACTTACTGTTATATTATTAAAACAACAATAATATGTATATTTACATATTATTATTATTATTATTATTGTATTATTAATGTATTGTTGTTATTATTATTATTATTATTAATAATAATGTCATTTGTTTATTATTTAATTTAGATGATTAAATGATAATTTTATTAAAAACATTAATATAAAGAATAACAATCAAGAATGATTTATTAATAAAAAATTAATACAACTATTATTAATATTATTATTATTGTTATATTTAATGTATACATTTTTTATTCATTTTATCAATAAAATTATGATTTAATAATATACATTATATGTTGGTGTATACAGCCTACATAGTCAACATCCTACATCCTAACTGAAATGTAACTTCATAAGTGGCTGATATGAAATGCTTTTTTTAGGCAGCAGTTCTCATGAGAATTGCACAAGAAACTCAACTCACAAAATCTATTGATTTCAATAAAGTGTGATGTTAGCATGATCCTAACCTTATGACATGATCCTCTTATAAGCATACAAATATGCAGCACACACTGTTATTGGGTAAAACAAATAATTCACATTTATCGCTATTCACTATTTTTCAATATTGAACGAATTAAATGTATAATTGACATTTCTCTTGCTTCGTCTGCCAACTTGAATGGATTCTTTTCACTGAACTTGTCACAATGCATTATAGGATTTGCTTCAATGAGGTGAGCAAGCCTATGCTGTTCTCACTTTATCAAGAGAAACAGACTAATTTAAGAGAAGTACTGCTTTAGAATTCACCTCTATGGGATCTCACACAGAATGGAACCTTTCTGAAATATAACTGGCAGCAGAGAGAAACCGAGAGAGAGAGAGGGAGCTGTGCTCTGGAACGCTGCTACTTTGCCAGAGCATTCACTATTACAGGGACATGCAGTGCTGCAGGTTATGGGCTCGAATTAGCAGATTGTGAAATAACTTGCATTAAACAGTTTTAGTTTTTCTTTCACTCATAAAAAATGCTATTACTGGAAGATCTAACAGATTAAACTAAATTGTGATGAATGATGACACTGTCTTCTGTACAGCTGCTTTATAGCGGAATATAAGTTTTCATAAATTATCATAAATTATTAATTTTGCAAGATTTATTGACCTGAACTGAATCAACATTGAACTGACTTAAGCTGAAAAGCAACACTATTGTCTTCTGTAGAGCTGTTATAGCTGAATTAAGTTTGTTTCAGAATGAAGTTTGCATTACTGCTTCTGTTATTTGACTTAACTTGACTAGAGTGACAGATAAAATAATATGGGTGTTAGGTGGCTGTCAGGGCATTACTATATGATTTTTAAGGCATTTACCGTGTTTTAGCACTGAAATATGGTTGCTGGGGGTACTGGGACATTTCTAGATGACTGTTGACTGACACAAGTCTAAAGTCTAAGTCTCAATGACTTTCTGCTGTCGATGCTCAGGTCACTCCTTCAATGTAAGCCTGTTGAACAATTCACCAGATTAAAATACAGTAGTCAACATTTGAAGTGGATCAAAAAAGTTCATCAAAGTTGTCCTAAAACAAGAACGCATTTTGGTTTTACGACAACTTTGATGAAAGGTTTTGGTCCACTTCAAATGTTGACTACTGTAGCATAGTACTGAAGTCATGTGACGGCACCCATTCACTGCAGAGGATCTATTGGTGAGCAAGTGATATAATGCTAGTGGATGCGGCATTTACTTGCTTTACTTGCTCTGTAAAAGTTACAGAGCAAGTGATATAATGCTAAATTTCTCTAAATCTGCTCCTATGAAAAATACAAATCAAACAGTCTACATTTTGGAGTAAATTTTCAGCAAATCTTTAGTGCATGAAGATGCCGGCATTCTATAGTTGTTTGTTTACATTAGCCTACTTTAAAGTTACTGTTAGTTATAAGGTAAAACAATGTAAATAACTTGACAAACTATACATCATTAAAAGGGATTAGTCTGTTTTACAATAAAATCTCTTAGTGACAGTATTTTCTTTTTTATGAAAATCAAAAATGCACCTTTAATATGAAATATGAGCCTCAGCCGCATCCACTGAGAATAAACTCCAGTACAGTCGTCATGAAAGCGCTTCACTAAACAACGTATTAATGGATTCTCAAATATCGATGGATTCTCATATGCTTACCTCAAATTTCTTCAGAGAAACTTTTACCCAAACCGGGTAAGACGACGTGAGCCCAGTGGAGTGGAGTGCTAAAACACTCTCATGTAATGTATATTTCATTCATACTCAAAGCCAGAGGGCATTCTCATGCAGAAATGTCATAAGTGAGACTAATAGAAGTGATAAATCATATATCTTTCCAGGAAATCCCTTATATGGATTAAAAAAAAAAACATAGGCCTACAGGGAAGGAGATCAGAGGCCTTTTTTAATGGATCTCATTGGAGGAGAAACTTCACTGCGCTGAATCAAGTGTTTTGTGGGAAAACATAAATAATTCATTATTATTTAATGAATCACCAGCCTATCGGCTAATCTTCAATGTGTTTGCCATTAAATATTAGTTTTGGATTGATCTACTTGTTTATACCTTCAAAAATGCTGTTTTATAAGAGAAGTCACGGACAATTGTCCGAAAGGTAAGATTAAGTTTATGGCACTTCTCATTTATTTCTATGGTATCCATGAACAGTGATTGCCTGTCGCACAACTCTGGCAGAAATTCAGTGACGTCAAGACTGTAATGTGATTGGTTATCAAGGCACATGCGATCCAAGTTGGCCATTATGCTTTCTCCAATGATAGAGACATGGACCCTATTATCTCCAAATAATAAGACCATCTCTGGATAAAGGCATCCAGTTATCGCTATAGTTGAATAAAATGCACATAGAAACGTTTTGTAAAATGAAACATGAAAGCAATAAACACACAATCGCAACAATATATGGTTCTTCTGTATCTGTTCATAGTTCAAATATCTCAAGCAAAAATTGTAATAGAATTGTGTACCGTAGCCAGCTCTACTAATAAACAGGCCAAACAAAAAAAAAAAACGGACTTTTATAAAAAAACATAATATAAGAATATACCCATGATTTTTGACAAATGGTATGGTATTCATGTTCACATTTACTTTGCTTTTAATGTCTTAGCAGTAACTTATTGACATGCTGCGCCGGCCTCTCTAGATTATCTTTGGATGCTGCGATTTGTTCAGTTAAAGGAGATATATTTTTAAAG